TGAAGGAGTTTCTAGGGGCTGCGGTCAAAAACATTGTTATGTGTGAGTGTTAAGCAACAGACAGCAGCACCATGCAGTTCTGTGTATTTATCCAACAAAAGCACTTAAGTAGATACTATGATAGTGAAGCATGCAAACCATCTGATTTTATAATAAAAAAACGATTGGACAGAAAATAAAGTATGACTTTCCATCACACTGAAAACAGTGTAATCCTTGTTTTCCTGTAGGAGCAGTTAAAGCAATAAGATGTAAAGGATTTGATCTATTAAATCTGCATCTATGGTTCTACGGTTTGGTTTTAGGTTTGGCTAGTTGTTTGTTTTCGGTCGGGAGATAAGTGAGCTGCAGCCTGTTATTATTTTTCAAGCTGATTTTTGTTTTGTTGTTGTTGTCGACAATGACACGACTCTGTCAAAGCTAAAAGCTCTTTAGTTTCCAAACGTCTCTGACACATCCTCTCTGGTTTGCCAAGTACATAAAACATGTAATGGCAGACTTTATGCTCTCGTAAAATGTTATTACAGTGTCAAAAGCAACAACAGACCATTGCCCACCATTAAATATTTATGTACCCTTGCCTAATGTCAACTTGTCAGGAGATCCTCGGAGTGGTGGGTCTTTTTCAAAGAGGTGATTTGGAAGCAAAGGATGACGACTCATAAACATGAAGTTAATGTTTTGTTAATGAGATTTTAACAAACTATTTGTCTCAGATCTGCTGGTTTCAACTAATCTGGTTCACTTTTTCTGCCTCGACACCAGTGACAGCTGTGACAGTATCCAGCTGCAGCCGGGGGAAACCTGAAGGACAAACAGGATCAGGAAGTTCAGCCTCCAAATCTGTTTTGTGGGTTGTGGTTTAGGACGAGGGTTACAGATAAGTGGTTATGATATTCGCCGTCGTTTGAGTAGGTTTAGTTTGTATGAGGTGTAATTTGTGGGGACCACAAGGCTGCAGTTGTTTTGAGTTGTCCATCCATCCGTCCAAAAATACTGTATATGTACGTAAAGATGTCTGCCCGTCTAATTAGGGACACAAACGTAGAGTCAAGGATGAATGAAAAGACATTTGTTGGTCAAAGGTAAAGGTCACTGCGACCTAACAAAACTTGTTTTCCAGAACTCAAGAACTACACAATGATTATGACTAAACTAAACTAAACAATCCAGATACCTTTTAAGTCTTCACTATATATTATTTTTGTGAGAACGAACTAATACAACTAAAACTTGAATGGTTAGCCGAAGAATATATCCATGAGGTGGTCACTACTGTGCTCGTAGTATGAGCAGTATTTGAAAATTTTGAATCTAAAAATGAATCTCTATTTTCCGTGTTTTGCAAAATATTCACATTAGAGATAAAGATATAAGAAATACTTTCAACCTACACATAAAAAAACATTTTGACTTTCATGAGAACTGGTGGAATTGTTTTCATTCCGTATGAATCATTACATCTGTTCGTAGAATTCTGTGTGTACTTGTTAAACCTGCATGCTGTCACCATGTTCGGTCAGGGAAAGCACATATGGTCATGACTAATCTCGAAGTTTGGGAGCCCAACAGTTTGGTCTCATTTTTAAATTACTACACAGCCACCTGTTTTTCATCGTTGAAAGCAGAACAACATGTTGTGTTGCAGAGTCCAAGCAAGTAATAGAAAATGAGGCTGGAGTGCAATGAGCGGATTTTGCTGGTGGCACGACTGCTTGCTTATAATTTACAAACGTATCCACTTCAATAACCTGGCGTAAACCCAGCCGGTCACAATCTGATCCCAAATAACTCTGTCAGAATGTAAGAGCTGCTTTGGGCTACAGTCACATCTGATTCCAAAAGGAAGAAACCAGAGGAGGAGTTATTTTTCTATTCTTTGGAAATTCTCCCTCTGCAGTTCTTTCTTTCTCTTTCCATTGAATCCTCTCCTGTGTCATGAAGGGCTGGACTGAATTAAGCCAGAGGACAAGAACAATTCAAGTCTCAGATTATCTTTAAGATGATGGTTTTAAATCGGACGAAACTCAAATGCACCCAAACCCCAACACAAACAATCCAAAAAAACATATTTCAACACACTTATTCACTTACTTTTACACAGTTACTTCTTATTGCAGGTGTTTCTACATAAAGTTTCAGTGTGTAGGAATAAGTGACATCTAGTGGTGAGGTCACATGTTGCAGTTGGATACCCGTCACCTAATTCTCACCTTCCAAGCATGAAGGAGAACCTACCTACTTTTGATTTGTGTATCGATAAACGGAAATGGTTTTAAAATACATCTCTAACAGTCGGTTTTCAGGTTTAATTTTGTTTATTCATGTAGAACTCAGAAACTGGCCTCCAGTGAGTATCTGTACCACATACTACTCCAATCTTTAGACCTTTACTGTGTTTTTTTAACACAGCAAATTGTACTGTGACGACACATTTGGCCAAAATTTCTCAAAAGTCAGGAAACTGTTCTGATACCAAGAGCTGGAGAAATGATGGAGGCAAAAGTTTGTAACTAAAGCAAAAGAGTAAAAACAAGTGTACAAGTTCCTGGATAAAGAAAGATGAAGGCAACTTGTGTAGTCAACACGATGATCTTTCAGGTTTCTGAAGAAAAATGCTTTAAACCATTTGTATTGACTCGTGTCTCCTTTATAGCAACTTTGTGTTCTTGATATTTTGCATTTGAACCACAGAGATACCCCGGGCTCAGCATGTGTCATAGCCAATTTGAGCTGGGATGAGCCACAAAGCGAGCTGAAGCTCCTGTTGTTGCTGGAGAGAAGCTGATCAGGAATGCAGGTCACGGCTCAAGACAGAAAACCCTTTGTTCAAGTGAGCCAAGAAACTTCTGTCTCCTACCGTCAAAGACACTCCTTGAGTTCAAGTATTCCCCTTTCAAACTGTTTCACTGGGAAACACTCCAACAATACTGTGTGCATCTTTGCACAATCCATCACTTCGCCCTATAACCTGCTGATGACTGCTGATCTGAAGACGGCCTGGGGACGCCACTAGCCCTTAGTGTCCAATTTATACTGTCCAGTATTGCCTGGAGCGCCCTGAAAAAGCTTAATATCTGACCACACCACACACCGGATCTCTGAAACCAGTCGTGCCCCGCCTTGTTAATCCTCCGGAGCTTTGCACCCTCTTTTATTGCACATATATTATATCTAAACAAACATAAAAAGAACAATCTACTGACTTTAGGGCTTCTTATATCAAAGTGGACGGCTGAAGGTGACTCCTGCTGTCGGAGAACAAACTTTGGCACACAGGGAACTGCATCTTGGGAAAAGTCTGAATGACAACCCAAGTACAAAAGCCTGTGGCTCAGGCCCCGAGTCATGGGCTGTTTCTAGGTCGTTCAGCCATATCAGCGAGGAAGACATCTCTATCCGTCCAGAGCTTTTCAAACTGTGAGGGGCGTCTGGTCAGGTGCGTGGGAGACTAATGCAGAGGTACAGACGGAAGGCAGAGATATTGCATGAGGGGAGGATCCGTACTGTAGAGTGAGTAATTCTGGTTCTCTATGACTGATTTTAGATTCTTCTGGTCTTAGAAGTCAGTTCACTCAGAATATATGAGATAATAATAATAATAAATAAGATCTCTCGACTTTGTTAGTCAGGGTTTTGCCTCATCAGTCTGTTTCCATCCAAATACAATGGAGGTAAATGGGTTTTCTTTTTGTTTTGTTGTTTCTGACCTGAAGCTAATGTGTCTCGCCCTATTTCACATAGACATGAATAGAAAGAGAATTCAGCATGACTGCACATTAATATGAATGAACAACCCACACAACAGAAGCAGCAGCTCTGATTGGCCTGATCCCTGTCAACTGGCTTTAGCTTTAGCTGTTGCTCTTAGGTTTGGACTTCAACAGATATGGAAATCTAGTAAATCTAACAAGTGGTAGTAATTTGTTTTTACTTATATTTTAATGAGTATGTTTTATATCTATAACTTTAACCCTTGTTTCTTGGAACATATCAGCTTCCATACAGGGAGTGACTTTGACTTATTATCTCATATTTTGTTATTACTGCGTTTCATAAAAAGATTTTTTTTTTAGTACATATCATCTTAAACTTTTTCCTCCGTTTGTGTTCTTGGCACACACAGGCTTCTGTACAAATAAGTTTTACTTTATCCTCATATATTTTTTATATTTTATATCTAAAACTTTTGTTTCATATATGTGTTCTCTGTACACGTGACCTTCTAGTGCTTCGGATTTAGATTTGATATTTCATAGGTGAATTTTTTTTATCTACATAACTTTTACTGGTTTCTTTTTGGCACGTGTTGACTTCCGTACAGATCCTTTGATGTTGGCTGTTTTGTATTTTAACAATAGATATTCACAGATTGTATTAATATTTGTTTTCCACAACCCCCTCAGACGCAGCAGCTCTGATGTGATGCGGCTCCTCTACCTTCTTATCATCATCTGCTGAATTCTACCACGTGCAAATTTTGTCTGCACATCTGCCACAAACACACACACACACACACACACACACATTAGTGAAGTCAAGCGAGGCAGCTGGATGATGTCATATCCGTGAAGAAGACGTCTCCCTGTGACCTGGACGCTGCTCGGGTCTTTTTTTATTTCGCTGCACGCTCACAAACTTTCTTCCTCCCTCGCACAGTGACGATGCTTCTCCCCGCTGCCCACCTGCCATGCGTAACGGGGACGAGTGGATGGATGTGCGTCCCTTCTCCTCCTCCTCCTCCTCCTCTTCCTTCTCCTCCTCCTCCCCCTCCTCCTCCTCAGGAAGCCTCGGCTTTCACCAGCGTGTAGTGGAGGCGGTGGTGGTCGCGGTGGTGGTGGCGGTAGTTCGAGCCCGGGGACAGAAACTTGCGTGAAAATTTATTTTGTTCCCGTCGCGGCTGAGAAGGAGGAGGACCAGGACCAGGACAAGGATCTGGAGCAGGATCAAGTTTAGGATCAGGACCAGGACAGGACCAGGACCAGGACCAGGGCAGGACCAGGACCAGGACCAGGGCAGGACCAGGACCAGGACCAGGGCAGGACCAGGACCAGGACCAGGGCAGGACCAGGACCAGGATTAGGTTTAGGTCCAGAATCAGCATCAGCATCAGGCTACAGAATGAGGTCGCTGTCCGTGGTGCTGAACCCGCTGCTGTTCCTGCTGCTGTTCGGTTACTGTCCTTCAGTGGTGAGTTACATGACTTTACATTCCTCCCTCAACAAACACAAACACACACTCTGTTCACACTGTCACTGTAACATGCTGCTGTAAAGTTCAGGTCAGTGGGGATGGGATTTTATTTGGGTGGAGCGCTGCACACACAGAATGAGTCATTTCAGTTTCCATGCTATTCTTGCATGTTTGGCTGATTGTTTGCTATTGTCCATGCAACCAGTGCACACTCCAGTGCAAGCGTTACCTGACACCAAATGTGCGGGGGACGAATTTATAATAAGAATATGGAATAGGAAGTATTGGTGGAGGAAGAGGCTCACTCACAGCATTCCTGTTTATTGCTTACATCAACCACATAGCATTTATATTGATCCTGGAGTGCTGCCGAGAATATAAGTCACTTTGAAGGGAGAGTTGGACATTGTTAAAAAGAGGCAGCAGCACTGTAGTGATACTGACTGTGAAAACTGACTTGCAGTTTTCTATTTCACGCTATCAAAATGTTAAAAAGGAAATGCATGCTGCCAGTTTGAGCCTCCCCAAGATGCACATGGGAGCAGATCAGATCACCAAGCCATTTGGACAAGAACAGTGGTCGATTAGGTCCATCCCACCCATGCAGAAAATAACGCCTGTGCCAGTGTCTTGATTGCAAAGCTGAGCCCCACATAGTATCACTTCGCCATGATTGAAAGTTGTTTGCAGAATAAATGTTGTTCATTTATTCTGGGAGGGAAGGAAACAGGAGATGTTTACGGGCTAAGTGAGCACTCAAAAAAACTGAATTCGGATCCTGTCAGAAAATCTTAATGAACGGCTAAAACAAAAGAGGAGCCAGCTGTCTGGAGTATTTAATGAGAGAAAAAACTCTTTGTGCAGAGTTCCTCGCAAAAATAAAAAAGCCTCGCTGGAGAGTGCATCTGTCTTGGCCATGCAACAAATTCATTTTGATGTGGGGAGAAGTGCAAGTGAGAGGAGAGGAAAGGATGTGCGTCACTCAAGAGACAGAGGAGAAAGAGCGCTTTAGTAGATTAGAGAAACTGTCGCTTTCAAAGCAAAGTGAGGAAGCTGAGGATTTTTTTTTCTCTCCCTCTTCCTCTCTCATTCCATTCAGCCATGATGCAATGAGAGAGATCCAGGTACAGCCATGATGCATGGAGACATCTAGTCTCCCTGACAATTTACCACACGTGACCTCCATGATGTTTCAGTCAAGTGTCTCATCTGCTGCTTTGTTGTGGTTTTGTTCTTCATGAACATCAGACTGAAGTCCACAGGTGAAACATACACGAGGTGACATTGTAAAGGTGACATTATCATAGCCCACTTTGAAGGCTTTTACCTCGGCTCCTTTTTATATTACATTACATCAGGGGCATCAGTCAATTGAGCTTTAATTCCCCGGATCACAAACGTAACCAGCAACCAATAGGAAGGTGGACAACGATCGGTCTGCTTTGATAATACCAGAAACAATTTTCTCACAATCTGATAAAGTAACATAAGAGAGATGTTCTGGGAAAAGAATGAAAGCTCAGGAGACTGATAGCATAGCATTTTCTTTATTTCTTTATTTTTCAAAATGAAAGATGAAGATGTGGCAGTGGAGTCAGGATCCGAGAGGGAAAAAAACAACATAATAAGAAGGAGTATCACATTCTGTTCTGCAAATTATTTCTTTATTTTAGCCTCAAAACACTTTTTCATTGGCTTAAAAATAGCGAATTTCCAATATAAACTCTGAAATATCTTTTACCTGCAGAGAAGCAGCTTCATAAGTGAAAATGATGAGTCGAAGCTGCTCTTCCTCCTTAGCGTGACGTCTTTGTCTGCTCGGAAGGGACATGATCTTTCATTGCTGATTCCAAACGCTCTTTAAACTGCCACGGCCGACAAGCAAGGATGAATGGGAGGAGGAAATAATGCCCGCACTCTAAACAGGGTCCTTCCATTTTCGGTCTGCCAGCTTCAAAAGGCCGCTGCCGGGGTTCCGCCGTTCACATGTTCCACACGTTATTCTCCCCACAGATGGAACGGAAACAACAAATTCAAATGATATCTGGTTTTCTGCCAATGAGGAGAGTGGTGCAGACAGATTTACCATCTGCAGTCAAAGGTTGCCAGTATTTGGCTGCAGGCTTGTGTTAATTTCCCAGGCTGACAGCGAACAGAAGTATTGTTCAAGTACTTATTCTGTTTGTGTGTCCAATAGGTTCCAACTTTTCCAGCACTTCAGGGCACTTTGATCAATATTTGGAGCAAAACTAGTTTTTACTGCGCTCACTCCTGACAGTGTTTGATGTTGTTGCATTGCAATTTGCTGCATTGGCTTATGATGCATAACTTTATGTTCTTTAGACTTTATGCTCTTGAGCTGTGGAGCATATTGAATGTAATAAAGAGCAGGAAAAGCTCCCACAAATCACGTTTATCTGCGTCTCGCGGCAGGACATTCAGTTAAGCCGTCGGAAGGCCTGGCGAGGAGAAACAGAGGAATTTCAACACCCGGGCGATTCATCAAGGCCAGGAAACAGTATTTATTGTAGAGGAGGAAATTCACTGGAGACCGTCGACTGTGAGCACGTTGTTTTCTCAAAGCCTGGACGTTTTATAAGTCAGGGGAAGTGGCTGGTGTCAAAGCTTGGGGGGGCATGACGCAGAACAATGGATGACCTGTGAGATGAAAATAAGAAAACTATAGCAACCGGTTGTCGCAATTTCATGTTGGTGATATCATCAGAGTTGGATTTATTTTGTGTGTCTCTGTGTAGAAGTGTGTGTGTGTGTGTGT